GGAGAGAGGTTGGTCCCTGCTGTGTCCCCGGGGAGCTGACTCACTCCTGAGATGGGATCTTGCTTACGTCAATACCACCTGAAGTTAACTGGGACATGGTGCTTTCCAGAAAGTCTGTGTATTAGCATGGCTGGGAATAAATGACGTGGAGGTTTCCAGCCCCTCTGTCTACACACGAGGAGGACTTGGCAATTTGACACCTGGCCCTTTAAACCAGTCATCTTTTATAGGAACTGAACTGAATTTCCTTCCCCACAGGGAAGAATTTGAAGGAATGAGTTCAGCGTCATTGCCCCATCAGTCCCTTCTCAAGTGTTGCTGTGAGAGGAGACAATTTGGCTCCAAATGGCTAATGTGAATGTCTTCCGAAAAATATTTTTAAAATTTCAATCTTGTCTGAGGTTCCTGAGTCCGCATCTGAGGCTAGCAAGGTAAACCCACAGTGATACACCACGTGGCCTTAATGGGATGAAATTGCCTTGCATGTAAATACATACTGAATAAAAATATTCCTGTGAAATGATAGGCTGAATTTATAGCCAACAAGGAAAAATCTTACCCTCTGTAAAAGAAAAAGAAAAACAAAAAGGGAAAAAACCCTAAACTAAAAACAGAGCATTTACATACTTTTAATGAGGAGTGAGCTTGCCAAGATCTCTCAAATTGTTGCGGAGGTTTGGAATGAAGAATTATCATTTGAAGATGAATAGTATGAGTTGTGCTGCAATTTCAGCAGCAATCCCCAGACCTGTTTTTTTCATGTCATGAAAACTTTAGAAACAGAAGTGGTACTGAATTGCCACTGGTACTGAATAATGTGGCTTTTATTGTTGCCTGGGCTTTTCAATATATCCAAGAAAATAATTTAATACTTATTAATAAATAGAAGGTAACTAAAGATGACTGTGATCTACTCTGCTTAAAATTTCTCAGTATCCTTAATTTGTTTGTAAATTCAATATATTTTATTTAAGCAGAATCATATATACAGTATATTAACTTTTTTTTTTTCCAGGCAATCTTTACTCAGCACAGAAAGGCCAGATGTATGGGAATTGTAAAAAATCAGGATATGCATAAAAACTGTTCAAGTGCATAAAGCAGCCCCATCTGGAAGACATCTAACAGAAATGAAGTTGTACAAAACCATTCCATTGATAATAAAGCTAATTTTTATGGGTCTGACAAGTATGTAATTATGTTCAGTGGTGCTTTTCAGATTTTATCACAGTCAATAAACCGCAGTGGTAATTTCATTCCCATTTGACATATTTACATGGAAACATTTGATTGGAGGAATTAGTAACCCTGAAAGCCTTGATAGATATGTTTTAATGATCTGTGACCTCCGCAGTCCCTCATCTGTTTATTGTTGCAACAGGCGAGAAGTCATTCCTCTGTGACCTTTGTGGCTTTGCCGGCGGGACGCGTCATGCCCTCACCAAGCATCGGAGGCAACACACAGGTCAGTAAGGCTGCCTTTACTCCTTGCTATATTTTCTCTGCGCTGGGGAGTAAAGCAAGTGGAGTGGCACATTACAGCACAAATAATACAGCGGTTCATTGTTTACTTTACTTTTTTGTTGTTGTTTTTGTAAGATCTATGTGTCGAAGATCTGCGTCGCTGTGAGTCTGAGGAACTGCTTTTGGGGGGGGTATTTTTGTTGCTTTTCCTAAGAAAGGTAAAATTGTAAAGACTGCCTTTCTCCTTTAAATGAATGCTAAGTATCCTGATTTTTTTTTTCAAGGCCCTACTGTGAAGATTTTGCAAGAGTCTGCTAGCACACCCCTGAATGAAAATATAAGACTACATATAGATTAATCCATTATTTTGGACTGAGAAGTAGTTGAAAGCTAGTGTTGTTTCAGTTGTCCTTTTGTAATTTTAAGATAGTTTGTAATTAATAACTGCAACTTCAAAAGTTATCACATGCTTAGCATGTAAAGCAGGATTTATCCCCAGAATGAGTAAAGCTTTCCTATCACCTGGTTATAAAAATTTAATATATGGTAAAATTAAATTGGACCTTAGCTTCAGAAGACCAGAGAAAGTGCAAGTATTAAACATTTATTAATACATTTTACCTTAATTGTGGTTTTTAGCAGTTACTAGTAAATGTTTGATTATTTGAGTATTTTGTTCAAACAGAGACAGGAACATCACTGCTCAAACCACTGTAGTTTTTGTTTTACTGAATAGCATGAGGATAATGTAGTATCAGGAATTGCTGCGTGAGTTAAGTGACCATTGTCTAAAGGACAGCGGAAAGAAATGGCTAACAAATGAGAAGCTGTAGTTGTTACATCATGAATTTTCCATGGGTTTTGCAAAGGAATCTCTGTGGGAGATTTTATTATGTCCCTGAATAAACTAATCTGGATTCAGGACATATACCATCAAAATGCATAATTTCCTGGAGAGCAGCTACTCTCTTTCTTGAGTGCCTGAAGCCATTCTTTTTATCCTGTTTTCAGTTTATTAAGGCAACCATATTTGGAGGAAAATCTGATGCTCACAGAAAGGTGGGGTTTTGCCATGCTATCTGGAAATACCTTTAAGTGGATTTGCTCTCTCTATGAAAACTATAGCAGGCCAAATTTTGTCTGTAATTCTAACTAGGAATCATACTTTAGAATTTTTTTTTCTGATAATAAAGAATGTATAATACTGACAGTACTACCACAGTCAGTTCCCATTCACCGTGGCATTTTTGTGTTATTAAAATGTTCTGTTATGTTTATAGGTTTTGTGTTAATACATTCCATGAATGGCAACGAGCAATTGCAACCCCTGGAGTAAAGTTGTGTGCTTCAGTTATAAAAAATGGTTTCTGTTTTTTCTGGAACTTTGAAGAATTTTCACATTCACATTGACTAAGTTTATCAGGTCTGGGTTTGGAATGAAAGTGATTTTTTAATTTTATTTTATTTTATTTTATTTTTTTGTAAGTAGAAAGAAATCATTGTTTTCAATTGGATGGGAACTATCCTTTGGTTTTTCATGACCTGCTGTGATACACTGGAATTGTGTCCATGTGTAGGACTCATCGTCAGTGCAGGCACACAGATGGTAAACAAAGATTTCAGCATGGAAAGTGGAAGAAATGGATATTGTTGTCTTACTCTTCTTCTGTTTGCCCATTATGAAAGTGCAGATGTGGTTTATTAGAAATGTCTTCATCATAGGTTATATACTTATGGGTTTGTATCAATAGGTCACAAACCATAAAAAAAAAAAAAAAAAAGTATTTCTTGGCTGTCTGTAGTAATGCTGCAAAAGTGGTATGCTCCTCATGAAAACCTGTCTGCATCCTGGATGGCATTTTGCCCTTCTTTTGCCAATATGGCAAGGCCTTTTGTGCTGTGATCATAGGGATTCACAGGTTATAGATCACAAAGCTTGCATCTAGCAGGCATAACTTTATATTTTATGTCAGGACTGGAGAGTCGTTATTACTTTGCTATTAACTTTATACTATACAGGACAGTATCTCAGTGGCAGAGGGATCTATCTTTTTGGCATTTATCTGCCTCTGTGGCACAAACAATCATAGATGATTCTTTAGCAGAAAAATTATCTGTAGCTTCTATTTGTTTCAAGGAGAATGGCACAATCCACCTTTGCCTGCACTGTTGCACTTGCATGGGTTCCCTTGCATTTTCATCCAGTGCACAACTTTATATCAGTTCTTAGCTCTTTGTACCTCTATTTTTTCTTCTGTGTCCCCACTTGACACAATTTTCCCTGAGCAGAATGCCAAAGCAAATTACAGTCAGCTTTGAAAGGGATAGGTATCAAAAATGGTCTAAATGGCTTAAATAATTCCCTACTGTAACACAAACTGTCGAGGGGGCTGACAGAGAATATCTTCCAATCCAAGATTTACTTCTATCACCTGTCAGAGACCCTTGATTCAAGGGCAAATGAGCAAATCCTCAGAGGTAGCTGAGGAGTCTTGACCAGCTTAACAAGCCTCCTCTCATCCCATCCTCAAGGTCTGTGGTGTCCTGACACCCCCAGAGAAACGTTCAGCTGCTCAGATAGATATTTGACACAAGAAGAAGCTGTGGAATTGGCCACTTAGATTTCTGATGCTCTTGCATCAGGGTTTTTCTTACCCTATTTTTCTCTCTTTTTAGACAAGACTATTTTTTAACAAAGTTATTTAATTCATATTTGTCCCAGTAAGAAAATCAAAACCCACCTAAAGATAGGAAGATAAATAATTTTGCAAATTTTAGTGTTTGCAGACTTTGGAATAAGTTTTAATTCTACAAGGAATTTGAACAATTGTCAGAATTATGTAATAAAAATGCACATATACTCTCTACTAAAAAGATGCATGAAGCAAACATACTGTATCACCTAATTTGAATAGATACTTCACCTTAATCACCATAATAAGAAATGACATGAAAGAAAAAAAAGAAGAAGAAGAAAAAAAAGAAAAGATATTTCTGTCTCAAAACGAAAATGAGAAAATTCTTAATTTTTAAAGTGTGTTTCTTTTGTTGTTGCTACTGTTTCTCTCTCTTCCTTTCTCTTCCATCCTGCATCACAGTACTTTTCTCTTTGTCTATATTTTTCCTAATAAACTTTGATTTTCTGCTGGAATATGTGGCTTACTCCAGCTGTGCTGATCAGTCATAAGCTGTGTTCTGTTACATGCGACTTACTTCTTTATGTTAGTTAGCACACCTGCATATTGCAAAAAAAAGAAAACCAAAAAACCCCATATTCATTTTCTACACAATGGCTGACTGCATTTGCTTCTCAGCTGTTTATGGTGGCAACTTCCTGGGAATCATAGAAGTCCACAGTGGCACAGTGTTAGAGATTACGCGTGCTCACCGTCCACAGCAGCTCTGTGAGAGCTACTCTGAACCTATAGAAATGCTTAAACACATTGTGTCTTCGTCCAGATATTTTCATAACTTTCTGAAGATGGTGGCTTATATTGCTCAGATCTCTATGTGATCGATTCTGCTGAGTCATTTAAAAGTCAATATCATAAAGAAAGTAAATGTAATAATATACGCATTTTTATCCCATTGAGTGACTCACTTTAGGTTTCTAACTCTCACGTGATCTGCTTTTTGACTTTAACGTGTAGTTAGATTACTCAGCACAGAATTTAATATATAATATAGCCTCTTCCCTTCGGCTTCCCCACTGCAGCTTAAAAAAATAATGCTGAATACCACGGAATATGCAGCACAGTTAAGATGACTTTCTGATCTTTTCAACAAGAGGTGAAGTGAAACTTGAAGAGGATCTGTGTTGTTTTTCATTGCCATTTATGCCAACATTTTCAGCACAGTGTGGAACTTAATTCTAGCAAGCTAATACCAGTAAATGACATCAAAACTCGGTACCTTAAGACTTTCTCTGTGCTTAAATGGAATTGTCTAGTAGATCATTTTTCCTTCCCTTTCTCAGCATACAGACATCAATTATGTTTTAGTATGGAATAACAGCCTCATCAGCTATCATAATTTATCGTTAAAAAATTAAATAAAAAAATCAAGGATGTACTTCTTATTATATATCTTATTTGAGAAAAAAAAATGATGACCAGAATAAAAGCAAATATAATTTGTTTCAATGTACTTCAGCCTCTATTAGCAAGCCTGTAAACACCCTTCCAGGGAACAGCCTCAACAAAACTAGAAATAGTTGGAAATGAAAAGAAGACACCTATAACCAGTAAGCAGGCAACCATAAGCGCGGTCTACTTGTTCCTTAGGTCAAATAATACTTCTAGATTCTTACTGTCCAGCTTAACACATCACATGAACGACAAGTAGGACTAAAAGCAATGGTTTCCTTTTGAGACAACTGGAGTAAAATTTCTTCCATGTTACTAAGAGTCTGATTAATCACTAAAGACTTTCAAATTGCTGGCATCATTAGTGTTGTGGGTTTTTTTCCTTCCTTTTTATGAAAGTTGGAACCTCAGTAGGACGTTCATTTAACTGCTTTGTGTAATCTGTAGGTAGAAATTGTCTGGACACTCATGACTGTAAATAAACTCTTGACTTTGCCATCCACAAGTTAACATCTATCACCAAGATTTATAATTTCTGTTCTTGTGTTATTTCACTTTTGCTCTAAAAATTACATGTTGAGAACATAACTGCACATCACACACATAACAGAGTACATCAAGCTATGCTCTGTGTCCTAAAAAGCTCATCAAACAAGAGGCAATATCAGGGAAAACAGGAAGAGGGAAAGAAAAAGGAAGCTGTAATTTGGGATGAAAAGAAAGATAGATGCTTAAAGAAATCAGTGCAGAATTTGAACGATACATTTTCAGAGAGGCAAGAGATAAGAAATACCAACTTAGTGACAATGTTTTAAAAGTAATAGAATGTGCAGAGCTGACGACGCTAGCTGGTTAGCAGCAGGCTTAATTAGTGCTTGCTAAATACAGACCAACGCTCCCCATCGTTTCACCCTTTTATTGGTTTATTTCCATATTTTGTTGGAGATGAAATTTTGTATGACTGTTGACTTAGACAACTGATATTTTTCAGAAGTGCTCACAGTGCTGTTGAAAAAGCAAAACCATTTCCTGATTCATGACAATATGGTTAGGAGTCATGTTTTCTTTAAGTGCTTATGTAAAAACCTAAATAACGACAAAGAAACGATATAGGGTCTTTAATTTTGGTATCTATGCCCTTCATTCTTTTCCCATAGAGCTTCTTTACCACTGGGACAGTCTGGGGCACCTGTCTTTCTCTTTCATGTGTTTAATATTGATAAATTAGAGGTGATGAGGCATGAAGAAGTTTTCTGTACTGGTACAGGATGGTGTCCAGTTTGACCTTATTGTCACATTTTAGATACAATATTTTATAATTATTATACTTATGTATATTTTATATTGTTTTTCATAGAATCGTAGAACGGTTTGGGTTGGAAGGGACCTTTAAGTTCCATCCCCCTGCTGTATGCAGGGACCAGGTTGTTCAAAGCCCCATCCAGCCCTGCCTTCAGTGCTTCCAAGGAGGGGGCTTCCCAACCGCACTGGGCAACCTGTTCCAGTGTCTCACCATTCTCAGAGTGAAGAATTTCTTCCTGATATCTAGTCCAAATCTACCCTCTTCCAGTTTAAAGCCGTTTCCCCTTGTCCTGTCACTACCTGCCCTTGCAAAATGTCCCTCCCCAGCTTTCCTGGAGGACTCTTCAGGTACTGGAAGGGTGCTCTAATGGCCCTTGAGCCTTCTCTTCTTCTAGTCATTTTAGGATTTCTGTTATTTTAATTTTATATTAATTATATCCTTTCCTAGGGGTGATTGAGAATCCTTCTGGAATGTTTCATGGCAGCCACTATAAAAAATCAAATTAAGTTTGTTGCCTGAAATGTCTGAAGGTAGGAATGGGAGAAGGAAAATCAGGACACAGACTGATAGAGAACGTTCTCTCCTAAAGATAGCAGAGAAAAAGAAAATAAGTAGCAGAAAGTACTGCTGCTGCAGCTCTTCAGAACACTCCTCATCCCCAAATCAAAGAAATACCCACAATCTTCTTTTAGACTTTTTCTAGTGTACATAACAACCTGGTTATTTTTTTTTTTTTTTTTTTTTGTATAATAAATACCTTTCCCATTGTGCAGCTGCTAAGAATTATCAGCCATGCTAGGCAGTCATTTTTTTTCCCCAGTTTGGTCAGCTTCTGTTATGTGGTGCTGCTGTGATGTATTTTCTGTCAGGTTAAATTTATACATCGTCCACTTGACAGGAGCAGTTAGCCACAAGGATTTCCTAAGGAGAAGCTTCCTGGAGCGCTAGGGAAGGATTATCATTTTTCTTCTGGACACTGTGGACTTTCTAGGCCCTCCTAGCTTCATGGGTTCTCACTCATCTGTCAGCTCAACTGGCGCAGCTCAGCACAGCGGCAGGCCTTCCCCAGCATATCTTCCACCAAAAGGCAAACTAAAAAACTCCCCTCTCAGTTCAGCCTGGTTTTTACCAAGGGTGCGAGCTCACAAAGTACAAATGCATTTTAAAGTAAGTAATTTTAAATAAGCACCAGTGCTACCTAAAAAACCTGTAGCTTTACTACTTGGACTTCAAAATGTTACTATCTTCAATACTATAAAGTAGCATAAATCATACACACAAAATTGTAAGTTCAAGAACAGGTTATGTTGCTAGGGAGTCTGCAGCCTCCTAGAGAGTTCCATTGAAGATGAAGCCAACACCATGCAAGCTGCTGAAAGAATCAGTTTCTCCAGAGCTGAGGGTCTGTGTCTGAAAAGAAAACATTTAGGGCAGAAGAAGACGCTTTATGGCAGTCTCAATTCGTCCAGCGTAGAGACTTCTGCATTGTGTCCTGCCCCTTCACCTTTCCTTGTGTCATGAAACAGTAAGTGAAAAACAGTAGTTGAAATTCTCTGCTGCAGCTGTTAGAAGCAATTATTCCAACTCTTTATGGAGCTTTCAGAAGCTGCTCCATTGTCTGTCCTTACAGGCTTTCCTTTTCCCTTTGGAGGGGAAGGGGGAAAAAAAGCACTCTACAAGAATGAGAAATACAGATTTCTATGTCTTCTCAGAATTCTGGCAAAGTTTCCTCGGAAGTCTTGATTGTTTCATGCTTTAACCACAATTGAAAAGTCTAGCTTGGAGGCATGGCCATTTAGGAGTAGCCTTTTGCTTGTGATGGGACTGCTGGTGGTGGGTTTCTGCTGTCACTCTGAAAACTCCAAACTGTACCTGCTTTGAGATGGGAGGTTCAGCTTTGAAACTACCTATTCTAAACCACTGAACAGCCTGCAAGGTAGATGTCTATCCCTATCTGTTCTAATTAGACTTCTTAATTGAGGATGTTGATTCCTTATGTAACCTTTAAGATATAAATACTTCAGAAGGCTTCCGCAATAAGATCAGGATTGCTTGTGTTAGGAGCTGCCTTCTGTCTTCTGCACACAAAAAGAAACCTTCTCTCGAAGTGGTAATTATATGTGCCTGTAAGCCACATAGAACATTTCTGGAGCAACTAGTTGGAAAAATGTGATGCAGGTGTCTGAGCTGGGCTTCACAGTATGCATATCTGTCATTGAGATTTTATCTTACTCAGAGTGCTCCACCCCTTAACTGGAATGGAAAAATGCTCTTAAAATAACTTATAAGCTAGAACACAGATTTTTATCTTCCTTTAATTAGTAGTTCTCTAGAAATTTCCAGTGCTGCTGCACATTCAGCAGAGATTGCATTTTAGTCTTCTGAAATTTTAGTCTAGGTTTTGTTTGTTTTTGTGGGGGTTTTTTTCATTAACATTTCAGATCCTGCTGAAATTGGCCCACTGTTTAGAAAAGCAGGAAGGGTAGAGGAATAGAGGCAAGAGAAGGATGAAGCACTGAGTTCTGGTTCATGTTTTCAGTTCTGTTTATGCATGAAAAAATGCAGAAGAGATTAAAAACACCACAGATGTTTCTTCTAAGAGATGTTCACTTTTGAGGACTGAATGTGTGCTCTGGACTGATTTCTCACCTCTCTCCAAAAGCATTGCTTTCTAGGCTGAGTGACCCATCTTCAACAGAAGATGCTGGATGAGAGAAAGGCCTGCCTCTAGGTGAAGATGCTTTTATGGCACATGGCCCGTGTGACACATTTACCCTGTTTCAGTGCAGATCTTTCTCATCTTTTTGCTGTTGTCACACCACATGGGAATTCAGCCAGTTACTGACGTATATGATATAGCAAAAGCAGGATTTTGTCGTTAATGCATTCAATTTGGAAATGTATTTTGTATTTGCTGTTGTGATGTGAACTAAAATCTGTCCCAAGGGGTTTGTCAAAAAATTAGATTTGTTTGCCTTTTTTGGTGATAAAAGCTGATAATACAAATCTTCTTTTGTCACTTTCTAGGAGAGAAACCATTCAAATGTGATGAGTGCAACTTTGCTTCTACAACACAATCACATCTGACACGACATAAGCGTGTCCATACTGGAGAAAAGCCTTACAGATGTCCCTGGTGTGACTACAGGTAATGAGTCATTAACTAAAGCATGATGAGAGAAGGGTTAAGGTGATCAGGCGAGGTTCATTTGAAGTCACCAATAAAAATATATTGCCATTAAAACACCATCAGGGCAATGGTAATTGCATATTAAATTAGGAGCTAAATTTAAAAACTTAGTCTTCAGTATTTAAGTATTACTTTATAAAGAAAAACAAATGATGGGAAACCTTTTAGTGGTAACACTGCAGTGTTGAGTGTTTGTTTCACAGCTGCTCTAGTGCCTGTTAGAATTCTCCACGGTGAGACCACTTATCTGCACTGCCTTTTCAAATCAGTTGCAGTTTTGAAATTTTTTCGGTTGAGTTGCAACCATTTCACCAAATCAGGAAAAGTCCCCTAAAAAGCTTAGCAACCTCAATACTTGTCAGACTTTTACTACAGTTAGAAGTAACTGGAGCTAGTAAAAGTACTACAGTACTTCTTCTGGTTCAGTTTTCCTTTTCTTTGTCAGCCAGGCTGATTGGATGAGAGTGGCTGTAGCATAGCAAAGTCTCTTTTGTTACACCACAAAACCCCACTCTATTAGGACAGTAGATTTAGTTATCAAAAATCACATGAATGAACGGTTAAGAATACTTGCTGTGCTCATTCTGTGTGTCTTTTGTCTTTTGCTCATGATCGACTAGTTTATAATGGTCTCATCTTGTTTCATAAGTAATTATTTAGTTTTCTTGAACGTACTTCTCCTACAGTCTTTAGTACCTTGCAGTGAGGTGGGTGGTGTATGTGTATTATAATACATAGAAGCCATTCATAAGCAATTACAAGAATTGATGTTCCAATACTTCTTAAAAAAATTGGTATCTTATTTGATAAGTGGCGTATGACTGTGTAATCAGATGCATGTGCTGTGATGCATACACACACGAGAAGAAAGTTAAATATCTGATTATACCACAGAGTTTTTTTTATTTTCTTTTAATGCTGAGCATACAACTGTAATGTTCTTTTAGTGTAAGTTTTAATGTACTTTCCTAAAACAAGATTATTTAACAAAGGCTAGCCACTCTTGTAATACATGGTTTCAGAGTATTTATGAGTCACTTTATAGAAAGCTTCTGTACAGAAAGCTTCTGCAGCAATCATATTGTTTCTCTACAAAAATTTTTCTTGGTTTGTGCATATTATAGGAATGTATTACAAACTCTACCTGTTGATCTCCCATTAAGTTACTGCCTAGAACTGTAAAGAACTGTTTTTGATAACCTGGAGGTTGACTTCCATTTATGTGCTTCTTCCTTAAGCTATCACCCCACACCCTTTTTCATTTCTTCCAAAAATTGTTATTCTCTTGGCTTCGGTAAGTCGTTTAAGAAGGATCGGTGTTTTTGTATTTGTCAGAGTGGTTCTGTTAAAAGACCTGTGTTGAAAGAAGCAAGAGCTTGTAAAGTAACTGCATGGCATGATCTGCAGTAATGAAGGTAAAAAGAGTGCTGTCTCTTTTAGGCTGCATGTTTGAGAAGGCCTAATCTTGTAGTCATCTACTTTTATGAGCCATCTTGGTTGGGAACAATACCTTTATTACAGAATAAATAATACAGAGGTTGAGATGGGTTATGCTTCTGTGAGCTTCTGATTTGGGGACGCTGCAGTATGGGGGCATCATGGGCATGAATCGAAGCTTGCCGTTTGAAGTTTCTTACGCTCCCGTACTGAGTGGATGCAGTTCCCTTGCTATGGCAAAATAACTGTCATGCTCTGTTTAGTGAAAGACTAGAAAATGTTTTTCTTCAGGTGTACGCTTTTCTGCATGGGATAGAATTTCAAGAAAGGACAGGATTTTGTGTTTTGTTATATTGGATGTTATTAGAGAAGAAGCAAAAATAACTCACCCATTTTATTAGTATTAAGAAGAAATCTGTAAGACCCCCTACCTCTCTATTATTGAAAAATAAATGTTTCATGATAATAAGATGCTAGTTTCCATTCCTCACAGGCCAATTCTGACTCTTTGGGGGCAGGTCTCTACAGATACCAGCTGATGCAGTTTTGATTCTGCAGGAAATTCATTCTGAGCTCAGCTGAAAAACATCTGGCAGGGATGAAGCAGTGAGAGCTGTTCTGCTGCTGCTGCATACTCACAGAGGTGATGAGGCACTGTGTAGCTGTGAGGAGCCAGTGAGGGGCTGCTGTATTTATTAGCCTAGCAGTCCTGCTTTTGCCTGCCAGTTTCCACAGTCCTGGGATATTATCCAGCCTTGTTGGCAAGCATGTTTTATGTGCTCTATCCACCTCTTTCATTTTTTCTCTCTTGTTTTTGTTTTATTGTATTTTTAAGGGGCTTACATGTTGCCTCCTTGTCAATTTGCCTCCTTGTCAACTCAGACAGTACTATCTATTTTCCCGAAGAGGTATTAGGAGCTCTGTAAATAGTGTCCTTCACACCAGTTCAGCAGATTGTACTTACTCTTGTGAATGTCACCTACAGAAACATGAAATCAAGATTTTAAATTCTGCTGACCTAGTGATAAAATTCACCCCTGTGTCTAGAGACTGAGCTCTCACTTTGGTGACTTCAGCTCAGTCCGTGTGAGGAGAGTTCATCCAGGCTATTTCAGATGTTGCTGTTTAGTGCTGCTTGGCAACTGCAGGCTCTTTAATGAGCTTTGTAGTTTCAGTGAGAGGAATATTCCTTATTTTGTGTGTGCATCTGGGGCAGAGTCTTGTTGGCACTATCACAGAGTCTCCTTTCACTGGGAAGTGGAATGAGCTCTGTATGCCATGAAGTAGTTTGGTACTCTTGATTAAACAGTCTCTGTATACAAGATACTGTAATTATTCTTGTCCAGCTCATTAGTGTTTAGAGGGTTTATACAGGTTGCTGATTTCAAGCTTTTTCATTCTTCAGGTAGAAGTTGTGAACCAGTGTGAGTTAGGTGAGCGAAAATCTAGCTTACCTTAGCTTGAAGTACAGAAAGACAAACTAGGAAAAGGAAAAAATTAGGAACTGTTATGAAAATCAGTCATTTGTGACTATACAGGCTCCCATAACTTCTTTCTTAGCTATAAAAACTAAAGTGAGGTAGACTTTGGGGAAAAAGATTCTGGCTGCATGGAACAGAAAAGGGAATTTGCTTCCTATATAACTTGCAGCATGGGAAAGTCTTTTCTTAACCAGGAAAAGACTTGAATGGATGTGGTTTTCCCAAGTGAATAATAAATTAATCCAAGGTTTCTATCGCACAGATTTCATACTCTCAGTGACATGCATATTCCCAAAAAGGAAATGGGAAATTTTGGTCAGTTTATTTCATTGAGTTGCTTTTATAACCTCTGTTTATGAGTGTAAGTAAATATTCCTGCACAACTCATTTCTTTCACCTCTATTTTTGTACTCCAAGTGTTTAGTATTTATTTTTACCTAAATCTTTAGTATACTGCTAACACAAAAACTTTTACTTCTCTCTATAGCAGTATGCCACTTCTACTAATGGTTACTATTAGAAGTTATATTTTCAGGCTAGCTTTTAAAATACAATTTCTTTTAAAGGGAGAAAAGTGTATATCATAAAATGTTGTTAAAACTTTTAACTTCTGTATTTTTAACATTTATAATTTAAAATCAGCTTCATCCTACTTAGACTTAAAAAAATAAAAAGAAGCACATTTGTACCTTGCATTTACTTTTACAAATCAGTGTGTTTCTACATTCTCTGGCAGTGTGCTTCATCACGCAAAAATATTCATTCACTCCTAATTAAAGTTCTCTGCAATTTTATAATATGGAATTGGTCTCATAGGGCCCTACACTACCATTATATATGCAATGCATATTTTATATTTCTGAGTCGTTTACAAAAGATGTTTTATGTGACTAAAGTTTTTAGATTGCATGGTCCAAGAGTAATACTGTCAAAAATGCTGTTTGCATTTTATGATGGGAAGAATAAGAAGTGAAGTCATGTGGCCTCATGAAACTGAATAATGCCGGTGGACTTCAACTGATTTCTGAAGCTGTTGGTTGTATATTATATGTCCCGACTTTTAATTTAAAAACCTGCGATACATTCAGGGACCTGACTTTAACCTGATTTCAGAAGTGCTAAACTCCTCTCCTCTACATCCAGTGATGTCAATGAAAGATGCCAATATACAGCATTTTCAAAAATTAAACAAGTTGTTTGCCTACAGCAAAGAATTTGTCAGGACTGAAGAGTTCATTTTAGTTATACGCTATGCTTGAAATATAAGTCTGTCTAAGTATATACTGATTTTCCATGTAAGTATCAGAGCTTCTTAGACAAATAATAGCTGACGTTCAAGTGTGAGTGAGGGAAGTGTTTAAGTACAAAATGGGTTTGGATTACTTTGTTGTGGGGTTCAGCCTCAACCTTTAATTGAGATTTGTTCAGCATTCAGGACAATCACCAGCTTAGTTTCGTGTTACGGGAACAGTACTGCTACTTTCAACCATGAGGCTGTGGGACAGGTATGATGTTAACATACTGTACACAATCCTGTGCTGTAATTAAAGTCAACGTCTCCTGTTTCTCTGAGACTTCGCTGCATGGTTTAATTTTGCATGGAGTACCTGCAGTGGTGAGAGGAAGAAAGGAATGGAGGACAGCATCCAGGGGAATGGTGGTGTTCCGCAGTCAGAGATAAGAGGGCTTAGAATCTTTATAAATCAAACAGCCAGGCCAGCAAAACAGCATGAATTCCATAAATGCAGCATTCTGTAAAGTATATGACTTGTGAAGGATGCCTTACAAGACTGAGAATAAATAGCATACATTTTTAATATAATTATGTAAACTAAAATAAATATTTTACATTTATTATGCATAATAAAATAATTAGACAACGTTCTGCAAGGGATTATGGCATCTGAAATTCCAAGTGCAGAAGGATTCATTGCGCACTCTGAGCGGCGGCGGCAGCATGACTTAGGGGAGCGGCTCCACAGGGGCCACTTTTCTTTCTTTGGACAGCATCCCCTGGGAGTTCCTATTTCCCTCTGACTT